ATATAGATATATATATATAATTTAGGAAGAAGCAATTTAGGACTGAGAATAGACGAGTGCAGAATTTAGGAAAACAATATCTGTTCAAATGTTTTTTTTATTCTTCCTATTTTATTACTTAAACGTTATTTTTAGTGGATACTCATGTTTGTATAAACGCCCCATTTATTTATGGGTATTACTTAAATCTTATTAAAAAAGGGATTTTGTTTTTGGTGTTGTTAGTTTTTCCTCGTGTTTTGATTTTTTAAGTTGTATTTTATTGTTAGTTTTGTTTTGAATAGGAGGGTAAATCCCCTTGAAAATGGCGAAAGAAGTGGCCCAAAACGTTTGGGACAATGGGAATTATGGAAAAAGTTCTGTATTTCTTTTCTCCTTGAAAACGGTGGAAAAAAAAAATGAAAATTAATTAAATCTTCTATTATTCAATAGCTGTTTATATTTGTGTATATACATATATATATATATATATATATATATATATATATATATATATATATATATATATATATATAATTATATAGGTGCAGTTTATATATATACATATATAATGTAATATATATTAATCATATACGTGGCAAATTACATTTATTTAATCATTATTCGCAAATTACATATATATATATATATATATATATATATATATATATATGTAGTGATCAAATTTGTATTAGACTCCGAAACAACGTTGAGATATATTGGATATTGGGACAAGTCTTTGAACTCGCTCGTAACACATTGAAATGAAAAAGGCCATAACTTTGATTTCATAAATGCTACCCGAATTAGAAAAACACATAATTTATTGCGTGGAAAATTTCTAGAAGGAATCCTGATAAATATTTTCCTATCAATAAACACGCGTCAGACTTTATAATAACATCAACTTTTATAAAATCCATATTTAAAGAATATAAGATCTAATAACTACATCCGCAACAACTATAACCTAAATTCTTTCAGTGTCGCACAAAACATCCATCAATCAACATACGAACGCTCCCAGACATAAATAAAAATGCCCACTAAATACTCAAACGTGTGCGCACACACAATCACATGCGCACATATACATTATTAATCAAATTCAGCATGGACCAACTAGAATATGTGAATCCACAAACACAAAAATTATGCACGCGAACTCCGCTTCATAGCCCAAATATGAGGTCTTTTTCACTCCCTTCACAACCCCCACCAAAATATCAGAATTATGATTTCTCCCGCAAATTAGATTTTCTGATGAAGCTCAAATAAAAAGCGAAATCCGTTAGATTGATAAGCGTTTTCTATTTGTTCCTTATCTTTATATATATATATATATATATATATATATATATATATATATATATATATATATAAATGAAATGGACAAAATCCGACAATTATTTAAGACATTTTTTATGTTTATACGTTCTTTTTATAGATACAAATATTTAAGTAAATGCTCTGCTTATAATAAACAGTATTAACGACATCTACCGGCCTGAACGTCCGAGAAATTTCCATAGAAAATATGCGTCCTCCGACAGGAATCGAACCTGTGTCCTATACAGAACCGTCATATAGCCTGACGTGCCTTAACCGATTGGGCAACAGAGGAGCTTTCGGTTAGCAAGGTCGATTTTACTGTTTTTAAGCACAATTCTCCATGATTTTCTCTGATTCATTCATATCTGATTATGAAATGGACAAAGTCCAAAAATTATTTAAGACATTTTTTATGTTTATACAGTCTTTTTATAGATACAAATATTTAAGTAAATGCTCTGTTTATAATAAACAGTATTAACAATATTTACCAATCGGTTAAGGCACGTCAGGCTATATGACGGTTCCGTATAGGATACTGGTTCGAATCCTGTCAGAGGACGAATATTTTCTATGAATATTTCTCGGACATTCAGGCCAGTAAATATTAGTCTTTGTACTACTAAGCGAGGGAGGATTTAAACTTAAGTCCGTTAAGATTAATGGAAATTAATTGAGTTATAGATTTATAGATTGTGGGTAATATCAGAGCATCCAATGGAATAACTCATGCTGTCCAACACACTTATATGCATACATGTTTTCATACATACATATATGTGTACATTTACATGTTCATACATATATGCCACTATATGTACACATACACCCCCACATATATGCACCTGTATTCTTATGTATTTGGAATTTATTTCTATGTCTACATTTCGTGATTAGTTCTTTCCGATGATTTAATAGTTTGCATTAATCTTTATATTTTATTATCCTGATTTTCTCTTCTAAAAATAGCTTCCACCTATCCTTAAAATTATCCTATAAATATCCTATCCCTAAAATTATTAGGGGTGTTCGCAAAACCTAGAATTTTCCAATTTATTTTTAGGATTCAGACCCTTTTCCTTCAATTCCCAATTTTTTTCCGAAAGGGCTGTTTGGTGTTTTAATTTTGGATTGCTGAATGAATGTCTATGTGGATTGATTCTCTTTTTAAATTCTCCTACAGAAATGCCGATGTAAATATGGTTTGCCGTATTTTCTTTAGGGGTAATTGTTGCCTGGTATACAACTCTAGTAGATCTGCATTTGTCCTCTACTGTGCAGTTTTCCTTAATTCTACAATTACAGTGGGGGGGGGGGTCCATGTTAGATTTAATTTTTTTTCCCATGGAATTTACTTAAAATGTAATTGTTATAGGAAATAATAATTTGGTACATATCATTGCAGGAGCAGCTAATTGAGGATTTTTTTTGTTGAAGTGTTTAGTAATTAAATTTAGGGAATACTCTCCGATGTTGATACTTGCCAATTTGCAGAAGGAGTGGGTTTAAATAAAAAATGTATATGCTCTCTTAAAATAAAATAAAAAAAACATCATGCTATGTGTGGATGAGTTTTAATAATTAACATTACTAGGATCCACCCGGATTATATACCAACGGATCGATTACCTGTATATATATATATATATATATATATATATATATATATATATATATATATATATATATATAACCCCATGTAAGATGAGGACGAATAGAATACATTTCCAACGTCTGTAACATTTAATTCAAAAAGAAGGCTCAGTACAAAGTAGAGCAATATTCTTTATTTTAGGATATTACATCGAAAACATGTCTAAATCGCTAAACAATTGCAGTGATGTTTCGGTGCGGATCAAAGCATTTCATCAGGTGATTGTAAATTACTTTGATACGCATCGAAACACGACTGCAGTTGTGTAGCGATTTTTTGACATGTTTTCGATGTAATAAAATCATATAAATATATATATATATATATATATATATATATATATATATATATATATATATATATATATATATATATATATAAATGTAAAACTACGACTTTACGAGAAACGACGCAGACAAACAAATTAGAAAGATAAAACCCTGAAATAAAAGAAGGAAAAATGTCCAGTTTACGAGACCTTTTTATGACATTCGGTGTCAGTATTCATTTTCAGAAGCTGAAATAACGTTGCATAAGTGCTTTTAACGACTGCGGATTCAGTCTCTGTTGAATAGGCGAAGCTTTCTCAAATTCGCGCCATAACTAACATAGAGTGTGTGAGTGTGTGTGGGAGGGTTCTTTAGCCTAACATCGAGGTGACCAGTCTTCAGAAATGGCATTCCGTTGTCGTTTCCATCATGTTCAAGAATCAAAGAACTGCGAGCGTTTAGCCATAATTCATTGTCAGTGGAACATTTCATATTGGTAACGATCTTGCCGTAAGTACTTAACAGAAGTCTAACACCGATGTAAAAGATCTGGGCATAAAATGGAATTTAGGAGAGTCATGGAAATAATATACCTTACGAATAAAACTTATGTGATAATTCCAGTCCTAGGGATTTTACGAAAGGAAATCTCACATTTCCAAGAGAAACAATTTTAATTTTTAATAAAATGTACTTTATCAATATGAATACACAAGTTCTAATCTGGTTCATGACATTGCCTTACTTTAAGAAAGATATAAATAAACTTCTTCAAGCGATATAAATGGAGGAAAGAATCAAGTAAGATATTTGGGGAATGGGATGTTCTGGCGTTGTCCATTTGGCGCCGCTGATGCGTCATAACCGAATCGACATAAGAATTTTTCGGCAGATGGACGAATAGGCATCAGATTACTACTTCGTTCTTATAGTCAATTTCTCTCTCTCTCTCTCTCTCTCTCTATCTCGTTTAATATTCAAATTAGTACTTCGTTGATGGATATCCACCGCTTAAAAAGCTAAAAAAAAATAGAGAGATGCTGACGAAAGAATAAAAAAGTCATAACGGAAACTGAATCATTAGATTCTATTGAATTCCTGAAGGGTGTTGACCATAATTACGAAATGAAGAATTAATTTCTAAGATTAAATAGCTTTACTAAGTTTAAAAAAAAAAATGTTTAAATACAATATTTTTAATTTAAGTTTTTAATTTACAATATTCCATTAGTGTTTTAATAGGATCCGTAATTCCATAAATGAATAAAAAGTCATATTGAAAGTTGGGTGTTTTCAATGCTTTTATCTTTTTTTGGTAATTGCCTCCGTTCAAAGAGAGTGATGTCGAAAAAGTCTGACGCCTAAGCGGCTGTGTGAATAATCCAAATGTTTTCTGACGCCAAAACAACCACGCTAAATGGGCTACGCCGAAAACAAACCAAACTCAGATACTTGAGAGATTAGAAAGAAGGCATAGAGAAGTTAACACTCACAGGGCACATGGTAGGTAAGGGAAGCTGAGGGAAACAGCAAGTAAGATACTTGACAGATTAGAAAGAAGGCCTGGAAAATTTAACACTCACAGGGAACATGGAAAGCAAGAGAAACAGTGGAAAATCCTGGGTAAAATTCTTGACGAGTTTGTGCAAACGAATGGGGGAACAATTGCTAGAAAGGAGAAAAAGAGTAAAGAGAAAACATGTCTGAAATCACCAAGAGAGAAAAATATGTGGAGAATAATGGACGCTCATATCCTGGAGGCATACGAAGAGAGAGAGAGAGAGAGAGAGAGAGAGAGAGAGAGAGAGAGCAAGTAAGATAGAGAGAGAGAAAGAGTGGGAGAGAGAGAAAGAGAGGGAGAGAGAGAAAGAGAGAGAGCGTGAGAGAGAAAGAGCGAGAAAGAGAGAAAAAGAAAGAGAGAAGGAAAGAAAAGAAAGAAAGAAAGAAAGAAAGAAAGAAAGAAAGAAAGAAAGAGAGGACGTTAAGAGAGAGAGCAAGAGTGGTAGATAGAGAGGAGAGAGAAAGAGAAAGAGATGGGGATGGGGAGAGAGAAAAAGAGAGAAAGAGAGAGAGCGTGAAAGAGAAAGAGAGAGAGAAAGAGTGGGGGAGAGAGAAAAAGAGAGAAAGAAAGAAAGAAAGAAAGAAAGAAAGAAAGAGGGAAAGAGAGAAAGAAAGAGAGAGAGCGAGAGAAAGAGAGGGAGAGAGAGAAAGAGAGGGAGAGAGCGAGTAAGACAGAGAAAGAGATAGAGAAAGAGAGGGAGAGAGAAAGAGAGAGAGCGTACAAATAGGTTGTTGATAATTGAGAAAAGTTTTTTGTGTCAGTAAACCTTAGCCTTAAAACACATCCCCAAAACAACTCCATTGGAAGAGATAGATTTGAAAACAATTACACAAAACCACTCGCCGATGTCGAAACTACTAGGTATTTTCCATAAGGAAAGTAATAATAACATAATAATGATTTAATATTTAGTTATGAAATGAAGATATTAATTATGCATGTTGTCGTTGACAGTTTTGTGAAATGCGTTTGCCTAAATATTAATCGGTTAATAACTTGTGATAAAAAAATGTCATTAAAAAAAGACAAAAACGAACATGGATTTTTCCTAAAATATAAATCAAACTAAATGAATGAATTGGAGGGGAAGAAAAAAGAAAAAGAAAACAAGACAATTGAGGAGAGAAAAAGAATAGGAATGACTGATTGGTGAAGGAAAAATGAGAAGACGTTGTAAAGGAAAAACGATGAATGAGCGAAAGAATGAAGTCACGATGAGAGGAAAGAATAGAAAGCTGAGATTTAATGACGAAGAAAACAAAATTTAAAGGATGGAAATAAAGAGTGAATACAGAAGAAGAAGAAGAAGAAGAAGAAGAAGAAGAAGAAGAAGAAGAAGAAGAAGAACAAAGAAAAGGACAACGAGAAAAAAGAGGAGGAAAAGAAAAAAAAAAAAAGGAAGATCGGGAGATAAAGCAATAGTAGAAAAAGAAAAAAACGGAGGAAGAGGAGGAAAAAGAAGGAGAGGAGAAAGAAGAAGAATAGGATGTTTAGAAGGGAGAAGAGGAAAACTGGAAAGAAGAAGAAGAAGAAGAAGAAGAAGAAGAAGAAGAAGAAGAAGAAGAAGAAGAAGAAGAAGAACAAAGAAAAGGACAACGAGAAAAAGAGGAGGAAAAAGAAAAGAAAAAAAGGAAGATCGGGAGATAAAGCAATAGTAGAAAAAGAAAAAAACGGAGGAAGAGGAGGAAAAAGAAGGAGAGGAGAAAGAAGAAGAATAGAATGTTTAGAAGGGAGAAGAGGAAAACTGGAAAGAAGAAGAAGAAGGAGAAGAAGAAGAAGAAGAAGAAATCGAAATAAGAGCAGGGAAAAAAACAAAGCATGGAAGAGGTGGAGAAAGAAAAAGTAGAAGAAGTAAAAAGAAGAGACAGAAAAAAATGTATGAGAAGAAAGACGCGGAAGAAGAGGAAAAAGAGGAACCAGGGTAGGAGAAAAAGCAGACGACGAGAAAGAAGAAAATAGAGAAAGAAAGAAGAGAAAGGGAAAGAAGCAGGGATGAAGTAGAGTAAAGGAGGGGGACAATAAAAATTAAGAGGAGCAGGGGAAAGAAGAGACAAAAGAAGAGAAAATGAAAAAGAAGGAGGATGAGAATGAAAAGAAAGGACAAGGAGGAGGAAAATGAGAGGAAAGAGAAGAAGAAGAAGAAGAAGAAGAAGAAGAAGAAGAAGAAGAAGAAGAAGAAGAAGACGAGAAAAAAGAAGTAAAAAAAAATGACTGAAAACAATGAAGAAAGAAAAAAAGAAAATGAAAAAAGGTGGGGAATAAAATCGTCGGTAGAGAAGAAAAATGAAGGAAATGTAAATCAGAATGAATAAAAAATAAATTAAAAATTTAAAAATGAACGGAAAAAGAAAAAGAAAACCCAGAAAGAATGAAAAAAGAAAATAAACGAAAAAAGAAAATCCTCAAAAGATCAAGGATTAAGAGAAAGAAACGTAGAAAAATTATCTATCTATCTATATATATATATATATATATATATATATATATATATATATATATATAAAATAAAAGGATGTCTGTGTCTGTCTGTCTGGGTGATACATTTTCACCAGCCGATTTTGACAAAACTTAGCACATACATTGTACAATGTAAGAGATTGGTTCTTAGCGTAAAGAATCGATAATTTAAAAAAATAATAATCGATAATTTTAAAAAATATAAAGCAGATCGAAAATCGATAACTTCAACTTTTTTCCTCCGATTCCGTTCAAAATCGGTATGTAGGTTACTTACATCATGACGAACTCAACGTTACCTCATTTTTTATTTTTACGCCACTGCGTTTAGCGAAAAACGAAAAATCGATTTCAACACAAATTTTAAACTAAAATCTCCCTAGATTTCCAAGAAATCTAATACAAATTTCAATCAATTGTAGCCAATAATAAATTGTTTAATATTCATTCAACTTGATAACTCACTCCACCCATATGCTTAAAACCTGCGTAAAGAGCGAAAAATTGCGATTTTTACTGGTTTCTTTCTTATTTTTCGTTGATCTTTTAACCAATTTTCATCAAACTTAACAATTGCTTTATAAATGTATCTTCTTTTACATCCCTGCTAGGACACTGAAAATTGAATTTCAAAACATCCAAAATAATTGGGGTCTGAGGTGGGTCTTCATGTTGCCTGTTTTACCCTATCATGCCCTTAGCTAACTTCGATTGAATAATTACAGACTACTGTTATATCAGTAACTTCATCAATTCATAATGTTTTTTAATGAAAGTACTTTAAAGTAATTGAAGAAGATACACTCTGTTACATCTAAACGTGATGTTGTTTTTGCTCCATTCTAATTGAACGCTTTTTCTGATCGACCAGCTGGGTATAGCTGCTAGTTGTAAATAAAAAATGGGCAGATTTTGAAGACAAAAAAACATTTAAGCAGTATGTAGATAAAGCATTTAAAGATAAAGAAGAAATTAGATACACTGTATTACTTGCAATAATTTTTACTCTTTTCGGAGATATTTGCAACGTTTTCAGGGCGGAGCGGTGGAAAGAAAACGTGGCCACTGAGCCTCATTTTGGCCAAACAGTGTCTTAAAATGATTAAAGCAATGCTGGTCGCTCTAATTTAAGGAGCATAAACGTCCGGTCAGTGGGGACATGAAATGGAAAAATCCAAACCCATTTCCCTGGAGGCAAAAAAGTCCATTATTTATAATTATTCTGGTCTTTCTATTCAGAATGGAGAAATTCCTTGTTTCCTACACCGTTGAAGACATTTCACACCGGAATTATTTTATGTAATAAGGTATTGGACAACGTTCGACAATTATTTTAAGACATTTTTATGTTTATATGTTTTTTTCATAGATACAAATATTTAAATAAATGCTTTGTTTATAATAAACAGTATTAACAACATTTACCGGCCTGAATGTCCGAGAAATTTTCATAGAAGATATGCGTCCTCCAACAGGAATCGAACCTGTATCCTATACGGAACCGTCATAGAGACTGACTTGCTTTTACCGATTGAGTCACGAGATCGATTTTACTGTTAGCAAGGTCGATTTTACTGTTTTTAAACCAAATTTCTCCGTGATTTTCTCTCATACATTCATATCTGCTCGATGCGTATCCAAATGTAAGCAAATGACGTCACACATTTTTTATGTTTATATGTTCTTTTTATACCCTTCGACACAGCCTCGTCTGGGGATGCTCTCTGCCCGGATGCAGAGAGTTTGACCAGCCAGCCGGGGAGGAATCTCCAACTTCAGATGGTATCTACTAAATGCTCGACGCAGTCAGATGTGGCACAAGGCAGAATTTAATGTGGGGTTCCCGAGCGTGTAGGCTCAGCCAAAAATTCTCCGTAGACCCCATATAAAACGGGGTCGTGTAGATGTTTCCCGCGAGGAAACTTTGCTCTTTGACACAGCCTTGTCTGAGGATGCTCTCTGCCTGGAGGCAAAGAGTTTAACCAATCCAGCTGAAGACGAATCTCCAATTGCAGACAATATCTACCAACTACCCTACGCAGTCAGATGTAGCACAAGGCCGAATTTAAGGTGGGTTACACGATCCAGTAGGCACAGCCCAAAATTCCCTGTAGACCACATATAAAACGGGGTCGGTTAAGTGTTTTCTGAGAAGAGCTTTTGCATAGACCCGTATGAGGATGCTCTCTGCCCGGGCAGAATCTAATGAAAGTCTATCAGAATAATTTCTATGAAGTATTCGTTGTGTTGTAATGGATATCGGCTCGAATTGAGAAATTGAGGAGCCGAGTTCGAATCCAGTCGAGTTCATCGCATTCACTTTCGCACAAATACCATTGGGAGAGGCATGAATACATTTCCTCTCCCTCCAGATATCGGTTGAATAGCAGGACAGACTGTTTTCTAGGTTCAATAGCTTTGGTTGGCAACCATTCTACCACAGAAAGAATTAGTAACGTACTTCAAACGCTTTCTTCCATAATGCCTTGAACCAGCATGAAAGAGTAGGCTCAAAGATTAACATGAGAATAATATTTCAGTTTGATGTGCAGTCTGCAACGTTGCGAGTAAGGGAAGCTCAGTTACGGCGGTGGGAAAACAATTGAAGCCGAGATGCCAGGTCAGGACCAATAACTTTGACGACCCTTCTTTGGAATTTGTCAAGAATCACTAGATAGATAGCAGAGGCTCCTGTACAGATGTGGCAACAGCATTCAATGCATGGCCGCTAGCCCGATAGATTCTGACGAGAAAATGTTATCGAGCACGACACGGTGGACCAACTTCTGCAAAAAATATCCCGCTAAATAGATTTCATTGAGATATTTATAGGATAGAGACGGAATTCAAGTTTGGTTTTTCGTCACACAAATGGGCCTGGTTTCAATTGTTATTGACTTCAAATTTGATCTTATGTTGTCTGACATTAAAACAACAAACGGAAGAATTAAAAAAATAAGACTTTTCTCACAGTATTCAAATGGCTAGAATTATTGATAAGGTTAACCTTAACAATATTTCTTAACTTTAGTATCGAAAACTCAAATGAAAAAAAAAACAAAAACAAAAAACAGTCTCTCTGACTTCCTCATTCTACGACTGTTCTTCGGTTCGGCATAAGACCATCCAAAATCGACTCCATATTGTTTGTACAAATTAGATTTTGTTTATTGCATCTGCGCCATTTTGTGCAAGGTCATTTTTTAAGCAATTTCATTACACGAAGGAGAAAAGACATGGAATGCCAGCCACATGTTTTTTTTTCTCTTTAGATTTTTAAAATATGTTTATATATTTTTTATTCTCAATCGCGTCACCATTTTTAAAATTGAAAATTCAGCCTTGTGGAAGACATAAGCATTTTGTACTTTTCACTGCACAGTGTAAAGGGGAAAATTATATTACGTCATCAACCTATGGCAGCCTTTGATCTATCTATCTATATATCTATCTATCTATCTATCTATCTATCTATCTATCTCAGTTCATATCTATCAATCTATATACTTATATATATCTAAATATCTCATTTCACATCTATCTATCTATCTATCTATCTATCTATCTATCTATCTTACTTACAGATTCAACAATCTATCTATCTATCTATCTATCTATCTATCTGGCTTACAGATTCAACAATCTATCTATTTCTGCTCATATATTTGTCTCAATCCATTCATATCTCTTTGTCTAGATCTCTATCCCTGATCTCTCTCTCCCCCTCTCTTTCACTCTCTCTCTCTCTCACTATATATATATATATATATTTATATATATGTATATATTAATATCTATGTATATGCCAATCTGTCTATAAAAATGTATTTAGTAAATGCACTGCCAATGATTTTGTTATAAATGCATTGCGAATAAGGTAAAAAGATTTTCAGAGGTCAGGCTTTTGAATGCAAACTTTAATGACAGAATCTATCTATCTATCTATCTATCTATCTATCTATCTATCTATCTATCTATCTATCTATCAGGCATACAGATTCAACACTGATAATGTCTGAGCCATAATAAAAGTAATGATTTCGCATAATGATTATGATTTTTCACTTAGTTTGGTGAAGTATTCGATTTTGTTGACTTTCGTACATTCAAGTGCTTGTAAAATCTGCAAACTCATTGTTTTCTCTCTTGCCACATACACCGGTAGACAAAACCTGCTGCTTTAAAGTGTCGTAATTCTCATAATGCTCTGATGCAATGAAACGCTCAAAACAACGATCGCTAAAGGAAAACATCAAATATTTATAACGTTTCTTAATGAAGTAATTTCAAGTTCGGACTGATATTGAAGTAAATTTGAAATAAATTCGGGGAGCCTTAAAAAAATTTCGGACTGACCCACTTCTTGAAATTTGATTTTATACCCAACTATCTGTATTTACCTCAGCGTATGGTATTGTTTAACTAGTTTGAATGATTGACTTGGTTTTTTTTTTACGTTTTATCAACCGTTGCAGGTTATTGAAAGTTTTATTTAAAAAAAAAATAATGGCTTACTGAGGCAAGTCGTACTAATTAACCCATAGCTGCGGGGAGAATAAATGGATTCAAAACTATCATTAACAAGTTTATTTACGCCCTAGTAAATATAAAGAACCTAACTGGAAGTCGAACACGGATCTCTGATTTACAATTCCGAGCCGTTATCTAATTACACCACCCGCACATCGATGCTTACAGCACTTGGTATTCCTAAGCTGTCACCCATCTAGGCTCGATATTGCTTAACTTCGGTTATCGTAAGCACTAGTTTGGTTGGTTCTTAGTGATGCCCTGTGTGTTGCAAATTCGTTCAGAAATATCTAAATTTGTTAGCTATATACAACCGCTTTCTCAGACCAATGATTAAAAATGGCTTCGAGAGAATGAAGTCTTCTTTCTTCGACCCTTGTGGACTGGCGCTACAGAATCACAAACAAAGAACGATAGCAAATCATCTAAGGAATTTCAACAGCAGCAACAAAGAAAATGGATAGCACATGTAACTCGAAGAGGAAATAGTGACCTAATCACGTTCCACACTACATCGAACAAGAAACGAGGAAGGAAATGCCTATTAATAATTGAAAGAGTTACTGGTCTTGAGAAAAACATTTTCGTGAAAAATTGTTGTACTTCAAGGAGTTTTTAAATTTCAACAGACAGTATCCCTGGCTACTCGGTCAATGAAAGGCTAATATGACCATTCTTTTCATTATGTGTGCCGTATCCCTTCAGTAAGTTAGCGATCATGGCCCCCCATGGCCCTTATAGCTCTCAATAAGTTTTGTCCATTTGATACTTCCCCTGGGCCATGTTCTGTCATCCACTTGCTTTCCCTTGTCTCTCTTTCCCTCTATTCGACCTGTGAGTGTCAGATTTTCCAAGCCCTTCTTTCTCATTACGTGTTCCAGAAATTTCAGTTGTCTCTCCCTACCGTTACCATTCTTGTGACTAAGTGGAAAAAAAAATTCAGTGAAAGATTTTCTCTTAAAGGAGGGTGCGTTGGTTGAACAAAGATTCAGTTCATTGCAACACAACTGAAACCGAACATATTTTACCTGAAGAAATCAAATCTGAAGTGTGATACATTGAACTTCTATCTATCTATCTATCTATCTATCTATCTATCTATCTATCTATCTATCTATCAGTCCTTTCAAATCTATTTCAGTCTGTTCAAATCTAATCTTTCTATCGATTTTAGTCTATTGAAATCTGTCTTTCTATCTGTCAAATTCAGTCACTTTAAGTTTATATATCACTGTATGTTCATCTATCTATCTATCTATCTATCTATCTATCTATCTATCTACTTCAGTCCCTTCAAATCTATTTCAGTCTGTTCAAAACTAAGCTATCTATCTATCTATCTATCTATCTATCTATCTTCAAATCTATTTAAGTCTGTTCAAATTTAATTTTTCTATCAATTTTAGTCTATTGAAATCTGTCTTTCTATCTATCTGTCAAATTCAGTCTCTTCAAATTTATATATCACTGTATGTTCATCTATCTATCTATCTATCTATCTATCTATCTATCTATCTATCTATCTATCTATCTATCTCAGTTCATATCTATCAATCTATATACTTATATATATCTATATATCTCAGTTCACATCTATCTATCTATCTATCTATCTATCTATCTATTTATCTATCTATCTATCTTACTTACTTACAGATTCAATAATCTATCTATCTATCTATCTATCTATGTATCTATCTATCTATCTATCTATCTTAGTTCATATCTATCAATCTATATACTTATATATATCTATATATCTCAGTTCACATCTATCTATCTATCTATCTATCTATCTATCTATCTATCTATCTATCTATCTATCTTACTTACAGATTCAACAATCTATCTATCTATCTATCTATCTATCTATCTATCTATCTATCTATCTATTACAGTCCCTTCAAATCTATCTATTTCAGTCTGTTAAAACCTAAACTAATCTATCTATCTATCTATCTATCTATCTATCTATCTATCTATCTTACTTACTTACAGATTCAACAATCTATCTATCTATCTATCTATCTATCTATCTCAGTTCATATCTATCAATCTATATACTATATATATCTATATATCTCAGTTCACATCTATTTATCTATCTATCTATCTATCTATCTATCTATCTATCTATCTTACTTACTTACAGATTCAATAATCTATCTATCTATCTATCTATCACTGTATGTGCATCTCTCTTTCTATTTTTCATACTTACCTGTCTATTCATATCTATTACTCTTTCTTTTACTTTTGAAGCAAATAACTATCTCTCACGCTGTTAATACATATTTATAGATCTATTGATGTCTCAAAGTTTTTTGTTTAACTCCTTATCTATTTATAATACCCTAAGTAAACCCCTACAAACCAAAACATGCCTCGGCTTTAAATAACCCACAAAGGTTTATAATCAGCAAAAAAAAAACAAACAAAAAAACAAAACAACAGCAAACAAATCAATCAATCAATGCCTATCTCTGAAGTTATGTATGTGAAAAATATATCTTAATATAAGAATGAATATATTTATCTATAGATATACGAGTATACTTGTTAATCGACCCTCCCCTATTCTGGAGCATGTAATCACTTGCCTCTGCGCCTTTACACAAAACCCAGTTAATACGTCACGAGAATATAAAGAGGAAAATCATCTTTAGGCAAACAATTTCTGCAGCTCTTTTAAAAAGCCAAGTGTCCACTCGTCAATATTCAATTGTGCGCATGCCCTGCATCAGCCAATCATTTGATCGGTAAGAACGCTTTCTGGCTTGATGACAGCATCACCTTTTTCGATGCTTTCTTTCCATTCATGGCGTTGCGCATATTGTCTTGCCAAAATCACGAAGACGTCATTTATTGAGTTCTTTTAGAATCTTTTGGCGTGCCTGAGTCTTTTCAAAGAATGTCATCGTATTTTTTTTTCTATTGACGTCACATTGGTTCACTTATTTCTGTAGATTAGACTCCAAAGTTAACAAAACAACTTTGTCGAATTCGTTGAATATCTATCTACCTGTCTATCTATCTATGTTAGTTTGTTTCTATCTATCTATCTATCTATCTATCTATCTATCTATCTATCTATCTATCTATATTAGTCTGTTCCGACCTCTGTCTCTCTCTTTCTCTGTATATGCGTGTGTGTGTGAGTATGTTCCTGTCTATCTATCTATCTATCTATCTATCTATCTATCTATCTATCTATCTATCTATTTTATTCTGTTTCTATCTATCTATCTATCTATCTATCTATCTATCTATCTATCTATCTATCTATCTTAGTCTGTTCCGACCTCTGTCTCTGTCTCTCTCTCTATATGCGTGTGTGTGTGTGTGTGAGTATGTTCCTATTTATCTATCTATTTTATTCTGTTTCTTTCTATCTATCTATCTATCTATCTATCTATCTATCTATCTATCTATCTATCTATATTAGTCTGTTCCGACCTCTGTCTCTGTCTCTGTCTCTCTCTCTCTCTCTCTGTATATGCGCGTGTGTGTGTGTGAGTATGTTCCTATCTATCTGTCTATCTATCTATCTTCACATCTCATGCATCTCATTCTGTTTCTATCTATCTATCTATCTATCTATCTATCTATCTATCTATCTATCTTAGGTTATTTATTTGATCGAACTGCTCTTGTATTTTAAATTAAGTAAAACAGCAATAGTAATTTTCTTAAAAGATTAAAAATAATTCTTTCTTTCTTTTCTCTCTCTCTCTCTCTCACACATGCACACACGCATATATATATATATATATATATATATATATATATATATATATATATATATATATATATATTCGAGTGGTTAGCATTATATATATATATATATATATATATTTATATATTCGAGTGGTTAGCATTTGAATCTTATTATGGGCAATTTTTCAAAAAAATGTCACCTTGATATCATCAGCCAGGCAAGGCGATCCCAGCATGGGGTATCTTAGGAAAATTATCTGAAAACCATAATACAAGTTGACCAAAGCTCTATGTAGGCGAAAACTTTTAGGAAACCGTCGTTGTTTGTGCTAGCACGAAATCACAAGTCATCGAGACCGAGGTGGGTACTGACCTTTTACAAAAATTATTGATCACTCTACATGCATAATCTAGCTAGCTTCTTAATGAAAAATAAAAACATGAATTACCAAATATTAAAAACATAAAATACAACATAAAATTCATTTTCCTGATGAAGCTGTTTGATCAGAGAAACATGTCAAAATAATAATTTCCCACATTGTCTTATATATTTACCATTAAGTCGGATTCTCATCCAGATTTAAGTCATATATACATTCACAATTACGAATACACATTACTATCCGACTCCTGCTTAGATAAAGTAGAATTTTTACAAACTTTCATACATAGAGAATTATCTACAGTTTTAATACATATGATACAAAATTGAAAATGCCAGTGTTTCTGTCTTTTTGTTTGTTTTCTCTCAATCTCTGATGAAGCCTTAATAAAATTGAAACGTGTTAGATTGATAAACATTTCCTATTTGTTCTTCATCTTATCATTCTGTCGGATTCCGATCAATATATGATCTGCATTTGATGTTTAACTCATACATCCCTCTTTTTATATATATATATATATATATATATATATATATATATATATATATATATTGAGACATGTATCGTTGTATAATTTAGACATCATCTGTGTACTTATTTTCGATAAGATCCTTTTATACTCCCGGATAATTTTTTTATGTTATTATTGAAGGACGAGAGGAAATCTCCGTGTTTATACATATTTGTTTTATTTACAAGTACTTTCGACATATCCATGACATCATCCTTCAATAAGGACATCAAAAACTTATCCGCGAGTATGAAAGGATCTTATTGAAAATAAGTAGACTGAACATGTCTGAATTATACAACGAATCATGGCCTAGTGAAAACATGCTACCAAAATATAAGCATATATAAATTTTATTTTAATTTAAATGTTGTACGTTATTTATATCGTCACAAATATTTAAGTAAATGCTCTGTTTATAAGAAACAATATTAACGTCATTTAGAAGCCTGAAGGTCCGATAAATTTTCATAGAAAATATGCGTCCTTCGACAGGAATCGAACCTGTATCCTACACAGAACCGTCATATAGGCTGACGTGCTATACCAGTTTAATTACAGAGTAGCGTCGAGTTAGCAATGTCGATTTTACTACTTTTAAACTACAATTTTGCATGATTTCCCTCGAACGATCATATCTGTTCGAAGCGTATCTTAACATAAACAAATGACGTCACACACTACGAAATGGACAAAATCCGACAATTATTTTAAGATACTTTATTGTTATATGCCATTTATATATATTAAAATAATTGTTGGACATTGACCATTTCGGAAGAAACATATTTTTTATGAACATTTCTCGGACGTTCAGGTCAGTAAATTTGTTAATACTATTTAATATAAACAGGGCATTTACTTAAATATTTGTGTGTATATAAATAACGTCAACTGTCGGCGTGAGTTAGGGATGGGTACTTTCATCCACACTGTTCAACCTATTTCTAGAGAGAATCATGCAAGAAACCTTTAACGGCCATGATCCTTCAATCTCTATCTGTGGCAGGCCTGTTTGTAACGTTTTGCAGATGACATTGACCTCATAACAGGTAGTATCAGTGAGCTCCAGGACTTGACCAATAATGTTTTTGAAAGAATAGGAGCATATGGTATGGAGGTCAGCTCCGAGTAATCCAAAGTAATGGTAAATAACACAAACAGTAACACCTGTGTCAACATTACCATGAATAGGAATTAACTCTTGGGAGCAATCTTGTCTAAAGATGCGACATGCAACTCAGAAATCCGTACACGGATTGCAGGAGCCATGGCAGCGATGGCTAAATTGATAAGAATATAGAGGAGCAAAATCAGCTTTCAAACTAAGTACAGACTGTTCAAATCGCCATAAGTCTCCTAATGGATGTGAAAACTATACACTGTTGTCAGAAACAGAGAGAAGAATCCAAGTGTTTGAGAACAAATGCCTGAGAAGACTCCTTGGCATTTTCTATTGGGGAAAAAAAGAACAATGAGTTTGTACGGAAAAGGATTGAAAGTTTTGTTGGCCAACAGGGACCTCTTCTCGCCACTGTCAAACGGAAAAATATGGCGTGGTTTGGATACATTACAAGGCACGACAGCCTGTGCAAGACCATCATGCAAGGCACAGTTGAAAAAATATTCACTGATTTTTTATTTGTTGCTCGTAGTGTATATTCTTTTTTACTTTTATAATTAAGAACAAAAGACTTTTAAATTTTTGTCAAATCTTGCATCACTAACCCTAACCCTAAAACTAAACTTGATCATAAAACTAAATTATATATATTGTTGTCGATGGTCAACTTTGCTTTTGTTTGTTCTTTAGTACGATACTAGCAGCAGCAGCCGCCGCCGCATAAATCAGCGATATGTGTAACCCTCCACTCTTTTTCATTTTACTTTGTATTTTTTATTACATGTAAAGTCAGCTTACGAGCCAGTAACAAACATTTACAAAACAATTATGGTATGCTTTTAAATATTTACTATATGGCTGGGCAAATCCCTCTTGAGGGGTTTGTAACACATCTATTTATCATTTCTCAGTTGCGTCTCTATCCTTGGACGGAGTTGCAACTGGGAAACATTATCCTGGGGAACAGCTGCTCGAAGACGGGCCCTCTCATTGCACCAGACAAGGGATCGGTGCTCGCACCGAGGCCAGCACAACTGACAGCTGCGCGCAATTTTTGTTCCTCGCCTGGGTGTACGCGCTCGGGTCCCCATCTTAAAAAAAAAGACTTTGTGCCACAACTCGTCTTAGTTGGGAGACAGAGCAAATACCTACTATATAGCTGGGCGTTGGATAATTTTTCCATGCGAAAGTAGGCGATGACATAGAAATGGTTGGGAATGGGTGGATTACATAGTAGTATCCAGGTAAACTCTCCTAAAATTAATAGGCATTTCCCTAAAAAGAGTCTTTGTCAAAACTCAGCATCGAATCATCGACAGCGGAATTGTTCAAAGCCATGTTCACTGGCAAGTCTTATATCATTTGATCTCTGAATGTACTTTTAAAAAAAGTATCTTTGTATATTTCGTGTGTATAGAGACGCAGGCTTCTTCTTTCCACATCGACTAGCTAAATTCTCGACTGAACAAATTATTGCATAATCCGAATTCGGTGTGTGATTGAGTTAGCTGCAGGGCCGGTTCAAGGCACTTGACAACTCAGGCAGTCACCCGGGGCGCCATCAAAGTCAGTGGCGCTATAATGCTGCCATGTCATGTGTTTGGAATCTTTCTAAACTACAGCTTATGAAAATATACTTGCGGTTGTCAATGACTCATGACATTAAATTCTTTGGCTATTTGGTCAATAAAAATGATCTTGTAAACAAGATAGGAGCAGAAAGTTCCATGAAAAGATTTGCAAATCTAAAGAAAAGAAGACATGATTTAGATTGGATAATGAATGTATTCTTTGTATTAAGTTATATCTATATCTGTAATTCTCCAAAATATATATATATATATATATATATATATATATATATATATATAATTATTATTTAAAAATATGATTCCAACGCTACATAAAAGTTCTCATGTTTCAAAACAAGAGCCGAAAACTTCAATATAATTATTTGAATTAAATTGAATTAAAGTACCAAGTTCAGTTCATTTTTTTCGCTTGAAGATGGAACAGAGCTTGATTCTTTAATTCAATTTAATTCATTGAAGTTTTCGGCTCTTGTCTTGGAGCATGAGAACTCTTAGGTAGCGTTGGAATCATATTTTAAATAAATAATTATATTTATGCTCTACTTTTGTATCGAGCACTATTTTTTAAAAATGATTGCAAAAATACTAAAGAACTTTGGATTATTTACCTAACGGGGATTTTTCCTATTTTCTATATATTTTTACACACACACACACACACACACACACACACACACACACACACACACACACACACACACATATATATATATGTGTGTGCGTGTAATCTTGCCTTGCGTGTGTGTGTGTGATCGGATGTTGTTTATGCGTTTCCACAGTTTTCATCCGATTTCGATTAATTTTTTTGTTTGATAGATAATTCTTCAGTACCGGTTTTAAGTACAAATTGTTGGCGACAATGACTCTCCACTATTTCCTGTGCATTATAACTCTCAGCAACGTTTTACTATTTACTATCTGATCTTGGATATATATCTTTCATAAAAACTTTAATAAAA